CAATGAAGTTCAAAGTTAGCATACATTTCACATAAGTGTCTTTGGCCCTTGGCCTCATTACAACCACATTCTAAGAGTGTCAAAAGGTGCACTTAAGTGCACATTACATAACTTAGACAATAAGTACAAGTTTTATCAAAGTAAGCAAAAGTAGGACAAGATATGCTAACATATGCATATTCTATCTCATCAAAATATACTTCAAGAACTCTAGTGAGTCTAAGAATGTTGTGCATCCCACACTAAGGCTTCTTTACCTGCAAAACACCCATTAACTTAGCAGTGAGTAAACAAGTTTACACGTAGGGAATGCATGGGTTTTTCTTTGTACCAAGTTACAATCCAATACCATTTAATTCATGCCATCAAGTGACAATAGAACTTTCAACATAATACAATGAGATGTAATTTTACAAAGTTAACAACTTGGAATTTAAATGCAAAATCAAACCAAAGTGGATACTTGGACGTCACGCCGGATCAAACCAACAATGTGGTTACTTTAGTTACTAGCCCATGGGTAACCTCCCTATGTGCGCACTAGACTTGTAGAGGGACTTTCCCTCGTACTAGAACCATGCCCTAGCCATAGTCATAACAACGACATCCACAAGTTTCCAAAATCAACATTTTGTGCACATTACATATATGTATCAACATAACATATATATATACAATGTAAAGCCATCAACATGCACAAATCAATTTTGGAAACACAATACATGCCCTAAGTTCTCAACTAAAATGGCATGAAGAATATTGAATGATCATTATGCAATTTGCCACTAATTACAACAATATCATTCAACAACAAGAACATAACCTCACAAGTATGATATAAGTTTAAAATCATAATTTAAACAATTTAATAAAACAACTAAATTCCCTAGATTTCACTTCTCATCTAAACATGCTCAATTTAATATATGTTGTAGTACATGTCATGGTTATTATATAAATCACTTCAAAACTTGATTTAAGTCATGGGAGCATATAAATAAAAATTAATTAAATTAATTCATTAATCCCTCTAGATTTTAAAACAACTCTAAATGACCTCAAATTAACATAAGTTATGAATCAAGCCATGGTCATGTTATTTATCAAGTCTAAAGTAAATTACATACAAGTGACAATTAATCATTTATTTCTCATTTTAATACAAGACAAACATATAACTTAGATATCACTATAGGAACAAATAAAATCACTTGGAAGATAAATGATAACACCCCCTACCTCAATAGAGAATTGAATCTCTATAATCCAAGCAACCAAGCTCAAAATGGAAAACAAGTTTAGGGTTAATGAAGAGGGGAGTGAGAGGAAGCTTTTGTCTTCCAAGGTTTTATGTCTAAGGTGAGTGGAAGGAGGCCAAAATGAAGAAAAAAACTATTAACCAAGCTTTTCTCCAATGGTGGCTAGGTTATAGTTCTTGAAGACAAGTGAAAATGAAAATGATAAAGTGTAAAATGGTGACTGGAAGGGCTAGAAATCCTCCACTCACTATGTGCTCTTACACTACCTCTTTCACACACATAATGCAAGACTAAATGATGAATCTACACTTGTCATGAATCTATGGTTCATTCATAGGCTTAATCTCAAGCCTACACTTGTCACCATCCTATGTAAACTTCCAAGACTTAATATTGAACCTACATTTGTCAACCATCCATACCAACAAGTGTACCAATCCTAGGCTAACAAGTGGGTGAATCTCCACCCTCCACATGTCATCATCCAAGGCATCAAAGTGTTTCCACACAAATGTCAACAAGTGGACCAATGAGAATGTGACACTTGTCACACTTTCTGAAAATTACAAACAAGTCCTTTTTGAAAATATCTTCCAAATAAAATTGCAAAATGGTCCCTAAGACGAAAAATAATTACTTTACTTAATTACCCAAAAACCCCTCAAGTTATGGATAATTACAAAAAGTCTTGTTTTCATGGCTTTTACGAAGAAAGTAAGCATTTAATATGCATTTCTATAAAAGTAAAAATGTAAATGTCATGGAATTTAAATACCATGAATACATGTAAAACCGAAATCAAATCCGAGCACAACAAGTAAGGTTATGGAAGGAAAAACGAAAGAAATGAGAAAAAGACAAAATAGGGAAAAGACAAAATAGGAAAAAGATGAAAAAAGAAAATCGCCAAAAATGGAAAAGGAGGAAAAAGGCCGGGTCATTACATATAACCATGGAATGCAACAACATAACATTGATACATTATCTTCAAGAAATATATGAAAACAAGATACAAGAATAACCTATCAAGGCTTACATGGTTTGGTTACCTAAACTAGGATGCAACCTTAGACATGATCACCAAGCCATAGATTATTAAGCCCTTAATCTCATAATAAGAGCACATGAAATAGAAACAAGAAGAATCTATCAAAGGAAAGGCCTAAGCAATAGATTATCAAAATTTCTAAATATCATGCCAATAAAAACACTTCCATGAACTCATCTCCATTATCACTATGAAAATGTAGCAATATAATCATGAGAGAAAAACAATCTAAGACAAGATATTTGACTCAAAATGATCATTTATAGATAATGAGATTCATTACATTATGTGAAGTGCTCTAGTTTATGGAAAAGTTACATATATACATTATACTCCAAATATAAATCAAAACATAGCAATGCTTACAAAATGGGGCTTCATCACCCACTAGATAGGGATTAGTTACCCATAGGAGCAATGAAGGGAGAGGAAGACATGAAGAAGATCTCCATTTTTGCCCTCCAACAAGCTAGAACTCCAAACCCCTCAAGAATGCTACTTTCTCTCTCTAGAACTTAACTAAAAAAATGAGATATCCAAAATAATGAACTTCCCCTCTATATACACTCAAAACCTACTCCCCATACTTAAAATTTCGAGCTCCCCCATCTGCATGAAGCTAGACCACACAAAAGAAGGATAAGGGGACCAAGATGCTGAAATTCAGGGGCAGTTGAATTGCCTACTGTAGATCGGCGGGCGCCAGCGAGGCGCTGGCGGGCGCCTGCGGGCGCCTGCGGGGGCTTGCAAATTCAAAGAAGGCATTGGCATGTTTGGCGGGCGCCCGCGAGGGCTGATCAAGGGCCCGCGGAAGTTGGCAGAGAGTAGGGGGGATTGGCGGGCACCCGCGGGAGCTTGCACCTGCACTTCATCCAGGCTTTATTTTGTTGCAAGCTTCTTCAGGCTGGAGCGAATACACACTTCCACTATGAACACTGAGCCACAAACTTCACAAAAACGGCGACTGAAGAGGTTAGGTCTCGAAGAGCCACGAACTTCACAAAAATGGCCACTGAAGAGGTTAGGTCCCGAAGATGACTCCCCGACACAGCGCACGTATTTCAACAGAAAGTTGTCAAAACCGCTTCTTTAATCATTCTCGGGAAAAATACCTGAAATCAGAAAGAAATACACAACTGAATTAAAATTGTACATTATCCTCTAATAATGGACTTAACTAATGTAAGAAATGGCACTTGAATATGTAATATTCGGCGCTTATCAAATGTATTATTTGGGATGTTATGGATGTCTTGGAGGTATGCCTCCGGATATCTTAGGATCTTAAATTCTTTTGATTTCTAGGGTTTGTTTTAATGTATCTCTTTGTTTGTGGGATATTGTGAGGGTTCTCCTCGTGCATAATTGTACTTTTACTTGATAAATTTATAAAATTTTCGTCATTTAGGGAAAAAAAAAAAAAAAAAACACTTTCACCAACCACTTATAAAAAATGGAAAAACTACACATAGATATAGTTAGGAGTCCTAAATAACAAAATAATCTATTTCAAAAGTCTATTTTTCAATTTGATTGATTTAAACAAAATAATTAAAAATGCATCAAGAATTATTGTTAAAGTCCCAAATACCATCTTTGAAATCTGGCCTTTTTTCTTTTCTTTTTTTTTTTTTGAATTGTTGAGAGGTATACGTCTCTAGTTGCTCTTGTTTTCTTATTTAATAAAATTGATTAATTATAAAAAAAAAAATCAAAAAAGTTTTTCAGAATAAAATTAAAAAGCAAAATAAAACAAACGTATCAATATTGTACTGTAAAAGTCCGATTAAAGATGCAAGCCACTCTTTGAAACCTTAAAATCCTAATAAGACTTAAAGCATATGACTTATTGATGCATGCAATACGTTTTTCAGTTCTTTGCTTAGGTTTATAGTAAAAAAGACCAATATCTTGAGAATGAAAGATTAGGGTATCATGTAATACCCCATTATTTTATTTTATTTTAATTATTTTATTTTATTCTATAATCTTGTGAATTTGGTCTCACTACAATTGTACATAAAATCAATTTGAAAAGATAATTAGAGAGCATACCTCTCAATAACAACGAAAAGCTAGCTAGATTATAAGAGGGTATTTGAAATTTTAACAAAAATAGGCTTTTAAAATAGACTATTTTATTATTTAGGACTCTAAATTTACCTTTCCTTCAAAAAAAAAAAAAAAAAAAAAAAAAAATAGAAACAGAAGTAGAAGAGGTACCACTCAATGATACGTGGCAAGGCCTTATCATTTGCGATTGTACTATTAATTAGGGCTGCAACTTGGGCTAGCCCAGCCCAGCCCAGTCCCAACGCAGCCTCAACTAGAAACGGGTTGGGTTGGGTCAACCCGAATTATACTTAACATGGGTTATGATCATAACCCGAACCGAATATTTTCGGGCGGGTTGGGTCGAGTTGACGGGTTGAATTTTTTTTAATTTTTTTTTTTTTCGAAAATTTATATATATTATTTATATTATATTATATTATATATTAAAACAAAATATTTTTAGGGCAAATCACTTCAGCCTCCCCTATCGCCTCCATCTTCATTCTCTCTTAACCCCCCCCCTCCTCCTCTAACTGCGAATTACAAAATCTACAAGAATCAGAAGTTCAAAACCCATATATTTCAGTTTTATCTAACTGTGTGCAAGAATCAAAAGTTCAAAACCCAGATCGGCATATCATTTCAGATTGTTCTAAAAATCAAAACCCAGATCTTTCAGTTTCCATCTCCCGCTGTTCCAGTTCGGGTTCGCAAGCTTCAGCTGCTGTTTCTCTCTCTCTCTTTCCATCGCAAGCTTTAGATCTCTCTCTCTCTTTCCATCGCAAGCTCTCCAAGAATGTTCAAAAAATCAAAATCCAGATCTCTCTCTCTCTCCATCGTAAGCTTCAGCCGCTGACTGCTAAATTGTATGTATGGGCAGAGAGAGAAAGAGAAAGAAGAGTGAGAAAGAGGAGGAGGAGATAAAAAGAAGAAATAGATTTTTTTTTTTTTTTTTTTTTTCGAGTTTCGAGTTGGGTTCGGGTTGAGTCTGAGACTAACTCAAATATGTCTTGATTTTGACAAAACCCAACCCAAACATGAATCCGATTTGTGAATTATATGTCAAAATTTCAAAATCTCTGATCGGGGTTGGGCTGGGCTGGATTAGTCCGTGCAAGTTGCATCCATGCTATTAATAGAAGAAAATAATTACCATTTGTTTTGGCAGGCGAGAAATTTTTTGAAATATCGGAAGTTTTGGCTACTTATTTTTTTTTTAGGTAAAAAGTTTTGGCTACGCTGGATAAATAAACTTTCAATTTTCGTTGAAGGCTATAAAAAGTGGGTGTCAAGTTAGAGGACAGATCGTTGAAAAATACGGTAAAAGATTTCTCTCGTTCAATCACATTGGGATCAAAGCGTCCTGCAATCTAGGGTTCCCCAAATCCCCTCGCTCTAACACATTTCTTGACTGTCTCTCTTCTGTCTGTTGATCGTCTCCTGATCGAAGAAGGTTCGTCCAATCCTTCAAAAACTTTCATTGTTTTGATTTAACAATTCAATTAATTTTCTTAGACTTCTGCTTCATAGCCGAATTGGTCGCTAATTTGGGTTTATATGACTTGAATCCTAGAGATTAATTTGAAATCTTCAGCTTTTGTTTTGTTTTGTTTTTTTTTTCTTCTTTTTCTTAATTTATTTATATGTTCATTTAACAGGTGCATATAATAGCATCGGTAATGACGATTCCTGAACCGGGTTGTATGATGGAGAATGAAGCAATTGGATTGCCGTGCACACCGGAGGAAGAAAAACGGATCGTAACGGAGTTAGCCAGCAAGGCAGAGTCGAACTTAATTGAAGGCAACTTGTACTATGTCATTTCCAACAGGTAGTCAGAGTCATTCATAGTTTCAAATCCTATTAATTTATCGTATTGTACACCTATTGCGATCGCCTTGCATACTACTGTATCATAAATAAATTGCATTGCTATAGATTTTTTTGAATTGTATTGGCATGGAAATTTACTATTTTAGAATTTTGTTTTGTACTTTTCAATCATTGATGTTGACTGATCAAGTCCATAATGGTGTGGGGGTCATGCCTGTGCTCCTGGCTGTATTTACATTTAGAGTTTGGGTAGCAATTGAAGGATAAAACTGGGACATCGAGTTTAATTGATTTATGTTTTTAAGGAATCGTTATTTTTAAATGGCTTGTCAATTGAAGTTGCTATTATGACATATGACCATTAATTGCTATGTCATATTTACAAGTCACCCTAAATGTCTGCAGAAATCAAAATTCATTTTCCATTAGTTGTTCATTCACCAACCTTGGTTGAGGCATTCTTGTTATAGGTGGAATCATAGACCATGTCTTGGGTTTGCTTTCATGGTTAAGGTAATCGAGACTGTTTGAGCAACTCTTACATTTCTCTTTTTTATTTTTTTCCTCTGCTGAATGGGGCAATTTTATAAAAGAAACTAAAGAGATGAATTCTCCAACTGGAATCCTTAAAAAGGTAGCTGATTCCAAGGCAGAATCAACAGCCCAAGGAGATCAGCAAATCTGACAGGACCCCATGAACTCTAGAATTCCTCTCCTTCCAAATATTCCAAATGATAGAAACAAAAAAGCTTTTGATAAACTTGGATGTAACTGAAGTGCCAGTAAGTGAACTAAGAATCCATCCCACCATATTAGACATGGAAGTGAAAGAATCCATCCCACCATATCAGATATAGAAGTGAAAGTGGGAAGATTAATACCCACAACAAAAGACCACCATTTCCAAACAGTCCTAGTAAAATGACATTGAACAAACAAGTTGTCTATAGTATCTTTAGCATTCCAACAGTTATGACACACGAGGGGAGAGAGATACCTCTGTATTTTAGGACTGAGTAAGAAGGAACAGCCTTGTGAACAACAAGACATACAGTAATGGCCACTCTAGGCCTACAAACACTCCAAATAGCTTATGCAAACCAACTGTGTTGCCCCTCATTCTGCAATTAGCTTAGACAGACTTGGAAGAAAAATTGCCATACAGTAATGGCCACTCTAGGCCTACAAACACTCCAAATAGCTTATGCAAACCAACTGTGTTGCCCCTCATTCTGCAATTGGCTCAGACAGACTTGGAAGAAAAATTGCCAAATTTTCACACAATTCTGTTAGCACCATAAGTGATATTTTTTGTTTTGATCCATTCATTAGGAAACACAGCCGGGATACTCTATTGACCTTGCTGAATAAGGGAATTAACCATGTTAGACTTGTCTATATCGCAAGCTCTCCAGATTATAAGCCCATAAAACTGAATAAGAGAAACACCATTTTACCCATGGACCCTAGTGCAGATTAAAAGAACTGCCATCACCAATAGAAAAAGTAATATACTGCTTGATGAACTTCCTAACTTAGCATAGCTCTCCAAATAGATGAGTCAGTTTATTTTGGGGTGTAAAACTAGAAATTTGATTTTTCGGTGTATTTTTGCTTGAACCAAGCAATCTAGAGGGAATCCTTGTTTTGAGTGAAATCCCACACCTGAGAGCACTAAGGCTCCATTTGTTTCGACGTAAAATATTCTTTTTGAAAAATATTTTTCTTTTTCAGGTAAAATATTATTTTATTTTTACTTTGTTAGTGTTTGGCAAAGGTCTACATCGAGGTTGAGGTTGAGTCCATCGGGCGAAACATGTAAAATAACTTGCCGAAAATTGATGGATAAATAATTTTTGTTAAATTTTAATATTTTTTTTCTTCGTAAATATTTTATGACAACCAAACACCAGAAAATAAAAAAAATATTTTCTGAAAAATATTTTACGTCCAAACAAGTGGAGCCTAAGTAGCAAAATTAAGGACCGAGTAAGAAGGAATATTTAGCATTCCAACAGTTAATACCCACAACAAAAGACCACCATGTCCAAACAGTCCTAGCAAAATTGCATTGAACAAACAAGTTATCTATAGTATCTTTAGCATTCCAACAGTTATGACACACAGAGGGGTGAGAGATACCTCTGTATTTTAGGACTGAGCAAGAAGGAACAACCTTGTGAACAACAAGACATACAGTAATGGCCACTCTAGGCCTACAAACACTCCAAATAGCTTATGCAAACCAACTGTGTTGTCCCTCATTCTGCAATTGTCTCAGACAGACTTGGAAGAAAAATTGCCAAATTTCCACACAAAACCTTCTTCGTTCTTTTTAAAGCATACTTTATTCCGACTGATCACGTGCAACTTCTGCTTGTTCTCCTTGGCACCCCAAATAAAATTCTTCAGTTTTGAAGACATATTCTCAAGTGCCTCAGGAATATTAAAATCAAGTGAAGGATGTAAAGATAGACCTTACAAGCTCCTCCCTACCCGCCATAGATAAGTGCATACTTTTCCACACAGACAATCTAGAATCAACCTTATCCAATAAGGCACTGCAATGTCTACTTTTCAAGCCCTTGTCTAAAAGAGGCAACCCAAGATAAGTCACTGGTAGGGAACCCTGTTTGAATTGCATGATTCTAAGCAGACTCCCTCTTCCTTTGACAGCCGCAGATGGGAATATATTAGCCGTGTCTGTGCTAACCACCAAACCTAAAGCCTCATGGAATTCATGGAAGACATCCATAAGGACTCTAGCAGTACCCAAATGACCCTAAACAAAAACAAACTAATCATCTGCAAAAAGTGACTGATTCTGCATCCCCCCCTATCAACAGCTTTGTACAGCTTGATAGAACCCTCATCCACTCTAGCTTGAAGGGGTGATAGAGGACACCCCTGCCTAATATCCCTCTCAACAGCAAAGAGCCGAGCAGGCACCCCATTAACTAAAACTGAAAACGTGGCTGCAGAGACAGTTCCTTATCCAATGGATCCATTGATGACCAAAACCATAGTGAAAGGGCTAAAATGCCCATGAGAGAGATTACTACAGATATTTCTAGAAATGGGCCGAACGGTGAAACGTCAGCCCAAAAACAACAGTACTAGCTTGAGTCATCACGTCAGTTGGGCCAGCCAGTAAACATAAAAGGACCATTGACCCAGAAACACGAAGACCAAGGAAAGGGAATTAGGGCAATACAGTGGGAGTATAAATAGGAAGAAGAAAGGGTGAGAAAGGAAGAGTGTGTATGGCATGAAAACTTTCCGTTTATAGAGAAAGGGCATTTTGTGTACCTACACATAGTTTTCCAAAATCCCGAAGAGAAAACTCCAAGAGATTGAATCACATGCCTTCTTAAGGTTCCACCTTAAGAGCCATGGATGCATTGCCCTTTTTACTGGAAAACCCTTTCTGCAAGTCATGAATCAATATAATATTTCCTTGAATCTTCCTACCTTTTTATAAAGGCCATCTGCTCACCACCCACCAAATGGTGCAGGACTTCTTTGGAACTAAAGTTAAGAAAGTAGCAGTCATACCTTGAGGCACAGAATGTGAATTGTACCAACAATTCACAGCTGGAATATGATCATACTATATGATATGCCAGAACCTCTGATAGAACCTAGCAGGGAATCCTTGTGGGCCTGGAGCCTTATCAGGATGGAAGTTCATAACTACCTCTTTAATTTCTTCATCAGTGATTGACATATCTAAATCTCTTCTTTGATTTTTATCAAGTCTTCTTCTGGGCTGATGTAACCGTGTAGGAACATCTGTTGAGCCTGTGGAGGAGTACAACTTCTGATGAAAATCAACAAGCCAATCCTTTATGGTCTCTTGATCCCAAGTGGTTTCACCTTGCTCAGATTCCAAATGAATAATAAAATTTATGGTTCTCCTCTGATTAACCTTTTGGTGAAAAAATTTGGAGCACTGGACCCTAGACTTTTGTGCCCACACAACCTCTTCTTGACCCTGCCGTAACTCCTCCTCTTCTTTGGACTTGTTAACAACACTAAGAAGGTCTTCATGCATTGGATCACTAAGTAACTGCATCTGGGCCTTCTCCAACTGCTCTATAGCAGAGTTCAACTGATGAAACACACTACCTCTACCTTTGTTCCACTCCTTCACCGCCTGTTTAACCAACCTCAGTTTCTTCATGAAAGTATGGATAGGATTTCCTGTGCACTTCTCTTTCCAAACAGCAGCCACTAAACCTTCCACTTCATCTTCTTGGCACCAAATCTTCAGAAACCTAAAATGTTTAGGTCCCAAACTTGACCATCATACTTGACCACCATGGCAAAATGATCGGACAAAAAAGGGCCAGTAAGAAAGAAACAACTTAGAATCTGGAAAAACCTGCAACCACTGATGGTTTATTAATCCTCTTTCTAACCTTGAACAAATTCTTCTGCCAGTTTATCGGCCATTAGACCAAGTCCAGCCCCCAATACCTGCAGGCATATCATCAATACCAATAGATTGAAGGACAGAATTAAACTCATCCATCACCCTTTGAGGGATTCTCAACCCCGCAACTTTCCCTTCATGGAATCTCACCACATTCCAGTCACCCATAACTAGCCAAGGACTAGAAATAGTCCTAGCATGAATCTGCAAAGCCCTCCACAAATCCTCTCTCCCCCTAACTGTTGTAGCAGCATGCACTGCAGTAAAATAATTTTTTTTTGAAGATTGAAGGAAGCAAACCTCACACAATATGCCTTGGACATCCTCAAGCAATAAAATTCATCTTCACCTTTGTTGGATCCCAGCGACTCCAAATCCTCCCATTATAGTGAAAGTTGTAATTTGCCACTCATTGCCATCCCCTCAGCAGCTTGGAAGAAATTCTGTCGACCTTTCCTCGCTGAACTATGGTTTCCAAGTACACCAAATCAAGATTATGTTACCTGATCCATTAAGACCTCGGACATTCCAGCAACCAATCATTGAAGTTGTCAATTGAGCAT